AACCAAGTTAACGCCGAAAGTACAAACATCACTAATGTCACACAACTTTGCCGACATGTGGCCAACAGTAATGTTTTAATGTTCTTCGTTGTTAAACATTCGCACATAAATAAGTGACATCATATTCAGTACTTACTTTCGACAGTTCACTCTTCGGCCGCTCCCTTCTGCCGTATTTTGCGGCAAAATTATCCACACCCACCGCCGCGCTATGAATTGTGGGATATATGGGACCACGAAGCGTGCACCAGACCACGCTTGATATTTGGGGAAATTGACGGCGCATTTGGAGTATGCATTTGAAATACACTTCGAATTGGGACAGCCGTCGTCGCTTGGCGGTGATGTAATCGCACTTAAAATGCATACTTCAAGTGTGCAGACCCTGAATTGGGACACAGCCTCATTGGCTGCTCTGATCGTCCGACTGCACCATTTCTTGCTTTCTGAGCTTTGATGTACAGTGACAATAAACAGGTGCCTATCCCTCTGATGCTACCCCCTCCAGGACCCCCTGTGGAAGGTGCGCCGCAGTCAGAAGTTGGACATGTCTGCTCGCCTCGAGCTGCAGTCGGCTCTGGACGCTGAAATCAGAGCCAAACAGCTGGTCCAGGAGGAGCTGCGCAAAGTCAAAGCCTCAAACATCAACCTGGAGAGGTCAGAGGTCATACCAAGGCAGACCGTCATCTTATCTGTGTACAGTGTTCACCTATCTGACCCATGTCTTTCTGCCTACAGTAAGCTTAAGGAGACGGAGGAAAGGAGCAAGGAAATGGTGGAGCAGATGGAGACCCTAAAAAAGGAGATGGAGGAGACCCGCTCACGTTCCGACAAAGGTTAGGCAAAACTACTCAGACAATGTGTGTATGATTTTTAGGGTCTGAGAGGACAGGTAGGTTCCAGTGGTGTCTGTGGGCGTGTCTTCACCATCTATGTCTGTGCAGGTCTGAAGCTCCCAGACTTCCAGGACCCTATCTTTGAATACTTCAACACATCTCCTCTAGCTCCAGACCTCACCTTCAGAGTGAGTTACCTGTTTGACTTTCCTACCATTCATAGTAACAAGCCCACACACAGCAGCTCACAGGACAGTGATGCCATTCAGGTGTAGTGCTGACTTACTCAACTTCATCTTGCTTCTTTCTCTTTGTAACTTTGAGACGTCAGCTTGCTCTGCCTCCTTGCTGTATGCTCTCTGGGAAGAAGTAAGTTTACCCTCCCCTCTTCAGACAGTGATCTGCCACCTTCAACCTCGAGTATAGCTGCTAGCTTTGTACTAATGACATCAACAACCACTCGGGTCAAATTAATGCCCCGCACACCTGATCCGACTGACTATAAAAACCTCCATCCACAGAATAAACTCCGCCCACACACACAAAAAAGCACTGCTTAGCTTCAGTCCTCTTAACCTCATATTACTGCAGTACTACTTCATGTGTCCACTGTATGAATACTGCAATAGTGAATTTGTAGTTGTCACAGTTCATCTGATCAGGTGTTGATAATCTTTGTGTCACGGTTTTTATCTGCAGCCTTCAGACATAGATGCCACCCCTGCAAAATCAGACACTACGCCCCCATCACCCTCCACAGGTTCCGAACACGAGGTTGGTCACAGATGAGTCTTTGCACAGGTGTCCTGTATGTTATGGTTTGTTTAACTGATTGACCCGTTTGCGTCCACAGGAAATTAAAGCAGTCCCTTCGAGCCCCTCTCCTATCTATCAGAGCACAGCGCTGACCACACCAAAGGTACCCTGAGGTTCTCGCAGGTGTCCTATGACTCCACAGGGCCACTCAGATTGTAGTAATTGTAATAGATTTTTAGATTTTTTTTTTTTTTTTGTGTGTGTGTGTGTTTCAGCCCAAAGCTCACCAGCTGAGCATCAAGACGTTCTCCAGCCCGCCTCAGTGCACACACTGCACCTCCCTGATGGTGGGACTAATCCGGCAGGGATACGCCTGCGAAGGTACGCAGCGCTAACAGCACCTTTGCTTCTGGTTCAGTCACAGGTGTCTGACTGACTCTTTGTCTCTGCAGTGTGCTCCTTCATCTGTCACGTTTCCTGTAAAGACCACACCCCTCTTGTCTGCCCGATCCCAGCAGAGCAGGCCAAGAGGCCACAGGGCATTGACGTCCAGAGGGGAATCGGCACTGCATATAAGGGCTACGTCAGGGTGAGTCCATTGACACGGTACTGACCATGTAACTGTGTAGCAGCTCCACATACTCAAGCTAGTTTGTTTTCGTCAGATTCCGAAGCCCAGTGGGGTGAAAAAGGGCTGGCAGCGAGCATTCGCCGTGGTCTCTGACTGTAAACTCTTTCTCTACGACATCCCAGAGGGAAAGTCCACGCAACCTGGGGTGGCAGCCAGTCTCGTCCTCGACCTCAGGTATTCTGTTTGGTCACCTTCTGTCAGGACATGAAAGCACTACTTGAGGTCTTTTGAAGAGTCTGCTTGTTTTGACAAAAATCCCTGGACTCTGGAGCAAGTTCCAGGTCTTCTAATTCAATTCAGTTTTATTTATACAGTGCCAAATCACAGCAACGGTCGCCTCAAGGTGCTTTATATTGTAAGGTAGACCCTACAATTATAAGTGAAAACCCCAACAGTCATATGACCCCCTATGTACAAGTGGTTGGGCAACAGTGGGGAAGGAAAAACTCCCTTTTAACAGGAAGAAATCCTCTCCCTGCTCCTCCCTGACCGAGGGGAGGAAGACAGGACCAAGACATGTTGTGGAAGAGAGACAGAAATTAATAGCAAGTATGATTCAGTGCAGAGAGGTCTATTAACACATAGTGAGACAAGAAAAAACACCCAGTGCATCATGGGAATCCCCCAGCAGCCTACACCTATTGCAGCTTAACTAAGGGATGATTTAGGGTCACCTGGTCCAGCCCTAACTATAACCTTAGCAAAAAGGAAAGTTTTAAGCCTAATCTTAAAAGTAGAGATAGTATCTGTCTTCCGAATCCAAACTGGAAGCTGGTTCCACGGAAAAGAGGCCTGAAAACCGAAGGCTCTGGCTCCCATTCTACTTTTAAATTATCTAGGAACAGCAAGTATGCATGAACTAGTTTTTTTGTGTCACTCTTGAGACAGGATATTTCTAACTTTAGAGATGTTGCGCAAATGGAAGAAAGCAGTCTTACATTTTTGTTTAATATGTGCATTGAAGGACATATCCTGGTCAGAAATGACTCCAAGGTTCCTCACAGTGTTACTGGAGGCAAAGGTAATGCCATCCAGAGTAAGAATCTGGTTAGATACCATATTTCTAAGATTTTGATGGCCAAGTACAATAACCTCAATTTTATCTGAATTTAGAAGCAGAAAATTAGTGGTCATCCAGGTCTTTGTCTTTAAGACATTCCTGCAGTTTAACTAATTGGTGTGTGTTATCTGGCTTCATGGATAGATAAAGCTGCGTGTCATCTGCATAGCAGTGAAAATGCACTGTGAAACAAGAATATGTTTTTAATTAAATTGGCTACACAAAAACATCACTGTCTTGGAACAGGAAGTGACACCGCAGAGCGCGAACACTTCTGAGAAGGTTCGTGTGGGCATGTTAATCCAGGTCCTGAGACGAAGTCTGAAGAAAGTTTGTGTAGCCCTAAGTGTTAGGACAGCTTGTGAGTCCTGGTAAGGTTCATGTAGTTCAGAGACGACTCTGATACCTTTGTGAAGACTGTAATAGAATGAAAAGATTTAGCTGGTTTAGAGAAGATTTAGGCAGTCGCGTGAAGCTGGCGGGGGGGGTTTTTGTGTGTGGAGTTTGTGACAAGTATTATTTTTGTATATGCGATTATCTCTTGCATCTCACTTTTTCAGGGATGAGGATTTGTCCGTTAGTTCGGTCTTGGCTTCCGATGTGATCCACGCAACCAGGAAGGACATCCCCTGCATCTTCAGAGTAAGAGACCCCATCACTGTTATACCATTTGGTGTCTGAGCACCAGTGCGTGTCCTGTTCTGATTGTTTTTGTTGTCGTGGTCAGGTGACATCATTGCAGCTGATCTCGCAGCTGTCTTCAGTGTCTCTGCTTGTCCTGGCAGAGAGCGAGGTAGAGAAGAGAAAATGGGTCCGGATCCTGGAAGGTATGCAGAGCATCCTGACCAAGAACCTGCTGAAGAGCCAGCAGGTCCACGTCCTGCACGAGGCCTACGATGCCTCGCTGCCCATCATCAAGACCACGCTGTCTGCCGCTGTGCTCGGTCAGTAACGAGTGCTCTGCTGAAAAAGTGTAGGACGGTTGACCGTGGTAGGCTGAAAATTTTTCAGGGTCTGCTGATGGATTGTGCTGAGTTTCCTGTCAATCGTCAGTCTTATTGATTACTTGATTTGTATCCGTTTAATCTCGCTTTTTATTTTGTTAATAAGAACATTTCCCATCTGTGCAGATCGTGAGAGGATCGCCCTGGGAACAGAAGACGGACTGTTTGTGGTTGAAATTACGAGAGACGGTGAGCCCAGTGAACAGACTTTGTCCACGTGACTGATTGTGCTAACCTCCTTTAACTCCTCCCTTTCTTTCTACAGTGATTGTGAGAGCTGCAGACAGTAAGAAGATCTCTCAGATTGAATTGATCCCAAAGGAGAAGATCATTGCGCTTCTCTGCGGTCGCAACCGTCAAGTTCACCTTCACCCCTGGGGGGTGTTGGAGGGAGCGGAGTCCAGCTTCGATGCCAAGCTGGCAGACACCAAAGGCTGCCAGGCTATGGCCACAGGCGTTCTCCGCCCAGGAGGCCCCCCCTGCCTGCTGGCTGCCATCAAACGTCAGGTCAGTGGTATGGGCTCACCTGGAGGCGACCTGCGGTTCTGCTCCGGTGCCCATCCTAATGCTGCAGTTTCTATATCCCGCTTCCAGGTTCAGTGCTACGAGATCACTCCGACAAAGCCCCACCACAAGAAGCTGTGGGAGGTGCAGGCCCCAGGTGTGGTTCAGTGGTTGGGGATGCTAAGGGACCGGCTGTGCATCGGTTACCCGTCAGGCTTCGCTCTGCTGGCCTTGCAGGGGGAGTCGTCCCCCATAAGCCTGGTGAGCCCGGCAGACCCATCGCTGGCCTTCCTGGCGCAACAGCAACTGGACGCTCTACATGCACTGGAGGTCGGATCCAGCGAGCTACTGCTCTGCTTCAGCCAGCTCGGTGTCTATGTGGATGGACAGGGACGTCGGTCCCGGACCCAGGAGCTCATGTGGCCCACCACACCACTTGCTTTCTGTACGTTGCACGATTCTTGTAATTGTAGGTGGGTGCAGTGGATAGTCTCTCACCTGTGTCTCACCTGTCTCTCTGTGTGACAGGCTCTAACTCATCTCACCTGACGGTCTACAGCGAGTATGGGGTTGATGTCTTTGATATTCACACCACTGAGTGGGTCCAAACCATCTCCCTGCGCAAGGTAACCAATCACAGTTCAGTGAAGGTCAGACCACCCATTCAGAATGCAGTGATGGCTGAAAGACTGTGTGCGCACCTATCTACAGATTCGACCTCTGAATGCTGAAGGAACGTTAAACCTGCTGAGCTCAGAACCTCCTCGTCTGATTTACTTTAGCAACACCTCCTCAGGTAGGAGCACACCTGAATCACATGGACGCTAATGCTCCCACAGCTGAAGCTAACCTGTTCATACCTGTCTCTGTACCCATGTCTGTTCAGAGGGCGATCTCACCATCCCGGAGACGTCCGATCACAGCAGGAAGTTGATGGTTCGAACTCGCAGCAAGAGAAAGTTCCTCTTCAAGGTTCCCGAGGAGGAGCGACTCCAGCAGAGGAGGTGATTTTAGTCCCTTCTGGTGTTTTCCCATGTTATGTTTACCTGCGTGCTCACTTGTGTGCTGGTGTCGTTGTCTCCTCAGGGAGATGCTGAGGGATCCGGAGCTTCGCTCTAAGATGATTTCTAACCCCACCAACTTTAACCACGTGGCTCACATGGGACCAGGAGACGGCATGCAGGTCCTCATGGACCTTCCTCTGGTAACTCCTCCTGCTCCTCCTTCTGCTGCCGGCATGTTCTCCTCCGTCTCCTCCCCCCACTCCTCTGACTCCTGCCTTCATCACACTGACTCCTCTCTTCTCTCTTCCCCCTGTTTCAACTTCATCCTGGTCCTTCTCATCTTTGTCTGCGTCTTGGTGTTCAGGTTGGTGATGTTGCCTCCCTCTCCTCCTCCCCGTCTCCCTCCCCTTCCTCCTCTTCTTCCCGTCACACCCTCATCTCTCCCCCCTCCAACTTTGAGCACGTGTATCACATGACGTCGGCATCGGCTGGCGCCTTCTTGCAGAAAGACGCCTCCTCTTCCTCCTCCCAGCAGAGCCTCCTGCAGCCTTCCTCCTCCTCCTCCTCTCCCTCCATCTCCTCTGTGGGAAGGGTAGGCCAGCTTCTGTCTCCCCCCTCCACTCAGGCTGCGCCCAGGTCACATGACCTGTATGCAGCAATCACTTGATTGATTTGATGACCTCACACTCGCTCATCAGCTGATTGGTCAGCGATGATGTCATCAGGTCACGCTGTGTACCTCTGCCAGCTGATCGATCAGTCTGAGGATGCCAGAAGGATCAATAAAACTCTATTCATCAGTGTGTGTGTGTGTGTGTGTGTGTGTGTGTGTGTGCCCGCAGAGTGTGCTGCCCTCTTCTCAGGACGACTGCATTAAAGATAAGCCCCGCCCCCTCTCCAGTATCTCACGGCAACAGAGGAGCAAGACGCACATCACACGCACAGCTTCAGGTAAACACATATGAGTGTTCATGTCGCTAGTCTCGACACGAACTGTCACTAACTCACCTGTCTCTGTGATTTCATTGGCTTAGATTTTGGGGGAGGCGCTTCGTCCCGCAGCATCTGTGACCCGGAGGAGGTGGACCGAGAGGTACCACACATTCACACTCACTCACACAGACACACAATCACTCACATACACACACGTCTGGTTTGCTATCCACGTGGGGACATCTCATTGACATAATGCTTTTCCTAGCTGCTTACCCCAACCATTAAAAATGAATGCCTAACCTTCTCCTAAACCTAACCATAACTCAACTGTAACCCTGACATTAAAACCACATTTTGAGTGTGGAAAAATGCCTTCAACCCCGTGGAGACCTGGATTTTGGTCCACACCAGTATAGTAAATTTCAGATTTTGGTCCCCACCAAGATAGTAAGAACCCGTATATACTCACTCTCACTCACTCACTCTCACTCTCTCTCTATTGACCGTCAGTCTTGATCAGTAATCATGCTTCTGTATTGATCCCTCAGCCTGACTCTGACTCCACCAAACACTCGACGCCCTCCAACAGCTCCAACCCCAGCAGCCCCCCCAGCCCCAACTCCCCCCACCGCAGCCAGCTCACTCTCGACGGCCTGGACTCTGAAGCCTGAAGCCCCGCCCCCACCTGAACGAGTCGGGCTGCAGACTGAGAGCTTAGCTTTTACTTTCAGGATTTTATTGTGGCGGGGTGTGTTTGCGCTTCCTGCTGCTTTTATTTTGTTGGATTTTACCTGCTGGAAGCCCCACCCCTTGGTTTTAACCCCTCCCTGCTGAGAGCTGCTGTGTGACCTTTGACCTTTACTCTGATTGGCTCTATGGGACCAGCGCCTGCTGTTGTCGTGCATGTGTAAGGACTTCCTGTTGGTGTGCAAGCTGACACGGGGAGCGGGCGGAGGTCTCGCTCTGACGAAAACACTGAATTAATTTTGTTGAAGTTGCACATCGTCATCACCTTCATCTTTGCTGTCGTTTAGGGTAAAATAATCTTTAATTTGTGTCAGTTATGATCTTTCCTCTGGCCCCGCCCTCTGCTCAGTTGGAGACAGGAGAGGGGGCAGGGTCCCACCTGAACACTACTGCTTTGTTTCTTCCAAAATCACATTTAAAGGATCTTTGTAATGATAAACTGTTAGTGGCCAAAAACAATAAACGAACCTGAATTCAGTCTTTGAGTCTGAGTCACACCTGCACAGGTGAGCCCGGCAGGCAACCAATCAGGACAAGCAGAGTCCCTGTCATCCTGATAATAACAAATTACAGTAGTCCAGCCTAGAAGTATTAAATGCATGAACTAGTTTTTCAGCATCACTCTGAGTCAGGATATTTCTAATTGTAGAGATATTACACAAATGAAGCAAAGCAGTCCGATATATTTGTTTAATATGCACACTGAAGGACATATCCTGGTCAAAAATTACTCCAAGGTTCCTGACGGTGTTACTGGAGCCCAATGTAATGCCATCCAGAGTAAGAATCTGGTTAGATATCCCAAAAGGTTGATTCTGTTCATCTGGATGTTTTCAGTCATCATCAGGTGTCTTTTTCAGTCTCACCTGACTGCAGCCATTCTTCAAATCTCTGTGAATGGTACTCATGATCATTGATTGAAGACCATAAACTGACCTCACAGCCCATTGTTCATTCAGTGGTGCTAGTTTCAGTCACTGTGCGAATGTACTCTTTATAAAGTTGGAAACCTACAGTCAGCTGAGACTGAAGAAGTCACCTGATGATGACTGAAAACATCCAGATGAACAGAATCAACCTTTTGGGATTTCCTTACTTAGGCTACGTTCACACTGCAGGTCTTAATGCTCAATTCCGATTTTTTTGATCAAATCCGATTTTTTTTGTCTGCTTGTTCACACTACAAATAAAATGCGACAGCAAACGCGCTCTAGTGTGAACCCTCAAAGCGGCCCGCATGCGCAAAAAAAGACGTCACACACGACACGCTCTGTTTAGACCCAGAGCAAACAATATTGTTTGACTGATGGCCCTTAATATAAAGACTTCGGACTTTACGTTTCCCAATTTTTTGCTTTAAGTTATTTTGTTATTTACATAATCATGTAAATAACCTAATAATTATCCTTATTGCTGTTTTAGAGAGGAGTGGTGCTTCAAAGGATAGTTGCAGATTTCTGTCAGAATCTGCAGATTATACAGTACAAATAAAATGTTCACGTTTCTCCAACGTTGTCTTCCCATCAGTTTCACTAACATCTACACTGGATGCCCAGGAAGCGTTTGCAATGTCTTCTCGGGCGCTTCTCCGGAGCTGATAATTGGCGTCTGTCTTGTGTCAGTGACATAAAAGACGGATTTAATGCGACCTGACCATTCAAACAGCAGTCGCTTTCTAAAACATCGGATTCAGTACCACATACAAAAGTGACCCAGATTGGATTTGAAAATATCGGATTTGTGCCGTTCACACTGTCATACCATGATCGGATATGGGTCGCATAGGGTCAAAAAAATCTGATTTGATGTGCTTTCGCCTGCAGTGTGAATGTAGCCTTAGATGATCGAGCATCAAGACATCTGGTTAGATACATTATTTCCAAGATTTTCAGGGCTGAGTAAAATAACCTCAGGTTTATCTGAAGCAGGAAGTCGGAGGTCATCCCACCTTTCCTGTCATTCATTAAAGGTTAATGTGTTTTATTAAAAACAGGACAAAGACAGCTGCTTCTTCTGTGGTGTTTCTGGGGACATCATGAGGACACCCAGTGAAGCCTTTAAGCTTGAAGTTCACTGAAATAAGCTGAGTGCAATCAAGCTGCATGTTTAATAT